TCCCTGCAGATGTAGAGGAACCTGTGAAATACCCCAGCAGGGAGAGGCACGAGGCAGCACTCAGTGCTGCTGCTGCCCTCAGACCCACTGGTCAGTGGTGGCACATCCAAAACCACTTCTCAGCTCAGGAGAGGGGACTGTGTCCCCTTCTCAGACAGCCAGGATCCCCCGCAGCACCCCTGGAGTGACCCTTGATGCTGGCAAGGAGTTTGCTTTTGCAAAACATTTCCATGTTTTTCACCTCCTCAACCACTTCAAAGCCATTTGGTTGGCAGCTTCTGGTGCAGCTGCTATGGGAGCAGCTGGAGGTGCCACCAGTGCCACTGCAGAGGTGGGGAACGTGGGGCACGGAGCCACCACGGTTCCTCCCCAGGTGGGACAGGCTGTGAGAGGGCCTGTGACAGCAGCTGGCACAGCACTGCTTCCCTCTCCCCTCCACTGGCAAAGCAGGAAAATTTGCCAGCCTGGGCCAAGAAAACCCACTTGCCTACTCACACGGTGCTAACAATGAAAACACTAATTATATTTCCCTCACCTATCAAAGGGATGATTCATTTAGGTGAGTGGGCACGGAGGATTACACAAGATGAACACTGTGATGCGACTGCCCGTCCGTTTTTGGGGGAGCCCTCCTGAGAAACAAGGCTGCCAGGAGCATGTGGACACTGGGGGCGGCAGCAGGAGCCGCCTGGCATGGCCCTGGGGACACCTCCAGTTCTGGGAACCCCTGGGAGCTGCTCCCCAAGGGCTGGCCAGGCAGTGGGGACCCAAGAGAAGGGCTGGTCCTCTCTCCGAGACCCTGCCTGGTTTTGGATTCTAAATGTTCCACCTGGGGAGAGATTAAGGGAGAAGGAAAACAGCAGGGAAGGGCAAAAGCAGATTTGGGGCTTCCTTCATCTGCCTCATCTCATCCACCTCCATAACAATGACTGCAGCAGCTGAAGCCAAACCCAAGGCACAGCCCCTGGACTTCGGGGGCAAACCTGCAGCCCCAACCCTGACTGTCCCGGGGGTAAAATCACGGAGTATTTCCAAAGTGTCCAAGGAGTTACAGAAAGGAACAAGCTGAAATGTCTCCTGATCTCCAGACCTGCTCCGGTGAAAGTCTCCAAGCCTCTGCTCCAAAGAGGTTCCACCAGTGCCAGCAATGCCCTGGCTCATGTGAGAGCTGATCCAGGTGGATCCTTTTGCCTGAATCCAGGGAACAATCCCGCTCTGGAGCTGGGCTGAACCAGGCACAGCGAACAAGAGGTGCATCTCCACCACCTGACCAAAGCAATCCTCAGCAGCTTGATTTATGGAATATCAGGGTGCTTCCAGATGGGGGCAGGAGGTGGCAGGGATTTTTGGCAGAAAGATCACAGAATCATGGAATGGTTTGGGTTGGAAGGGACATTAAAGATCCTCTAGTTCCAAGCCCCTGCCATGGGCAGGGACACCTCCCAGCAGCCCAGGTTGCTCCAAGCCCCATCCAACCTGCCCTTCAACACTGCCAGGGATGAGGCAGCCACAGCTTCCCTGGGCAGCCTGGGCCAGGGTCTCCCCACCAAGATAAGGACATGTTGGCAGTCTGGTGGTTTGGGGGGTTGCAGTGAGTGCAGGCATGCAGACAGGACTGTGGGTTGGACGTGCAGTGGTACATTTGGCCAAGTGTGGGCTGCATTTGCTTATTTGGGCTCTGCACAACCGGTGTGTGTTGATCACAGAATCACAATCACAGAATCATTCTGGTTAGAAAAGGCCTTTAAGATCACCAAGCCCAAGTGCTAACCTAACCGTACCAAGTCCAGCACTAACCCACGTCCCTCAGCACCACATCTACAGGGCTTTTAAACGCTTTCAGGGATGGTGATTCAACCACCACCCTGGGCAGCCTGTGCCAGGGCCCGACAACCCTTTTAGGGAAGAAGTTTCTCCTAATATCCAATTTAAACCTGGCACAACTTGAGGCCATTTCCTCTTGTCCTGTTGCTTGTTACTAGGAAGAGGAGACTTGACTCCCCTGGCTCCAACCTCCTCTCAGCAGCTGCAGAGCCAGCAGGTCTCCCCTCACCTCCTTGTCTCCAGGCTGGACACCCCCAGCTCCCTCAGCTGCTCCTCATCTGACTTGTGCTCCAGACCCTTCTCCACCTCCATTGCCCTTCTCTGGACACGCTCCAGCACCTCAATGTCCTTCTTGTCATGAGGGTCCCAGAACTGACCCGAGGCTTGGAGCTGATGGACACACGGGACTCAGGGAGCCTGGTTCCCATTCACCCAGCGCGTGGGTGGGTCTGGGGGGGGGGCTGGGGCGGGGTGGGGGGGGCT